TACAGGTGCATCTCGATAAATTAGAATGTCATGGAAAAGTTTAACTCAAATTGTGAAACTTGTGTATTAAATAAATTCAATGCACACAGACTGAAGTAGTTTAAGTTTTTGGTTCTTTTAATTGTGATGATTTTGGCTCACATTTCACAAAAACCCACCATTTCACTATCTCAATAAATTAGAATACTTCATAAGACCAATAAAAAAACATTTTTAGTGAATTGTTGGCCTTCTGGAAAGTATGTTCATTTACTGTACATGTACTCAATACTTGGTAGGGGCTCCTTTTGCTTTAATTACTGCCTCAATTCGGCGTGGCGTGGAGGTGATCAGTTTGTGGCACTGCTGAGGTGGTATGGAAGCCCAGGTTTCTTTGACAGTGGCCTTCAGCTCATCTGCATTTTTTGGTCTCTTGTTTTTCATTTTCCTCTTGACAATACCCCATAGATTCTCTATGGGGTTCAGGTCTGGTGAGTTTGCTGGCCAGTCAAGCACACCAACACCATGGTCATTTAACCAACTTTTGGTGCTTTTGGCAGTGTGGGCAGGTGCCAAATCCTGCTGGAAAATGAAATCAGCATCTTCAAAAAGCTGGTCAGCAGAAGGAAGCATGAAGTGCTCCAAAATTTCTTGGTAAACGGGTGCAGTGACGTTGGTTTTCAAAAAACACAATGGACCAACACCAGCAGATGACATTGCACCCCAAATCATCACAGACTGTGGAAACTTAACACTGGACTTCAAGCAACTTGGGCTATGAGCTTCTCCACCCTTCCTCCAGACTCTAGGACCTTGGTTTCCAAATGAAATACAAAACTTGCTCTCATCTGAAAAGAGGACTTTGGACCACTGGGCAACAGTCCAGTTCTTCTTCTCCTTAGCCCAGGTAAGACGCCTCTGATGTTGTCTGTGGTTCAGGAGTGGCTTAACAAGAGGAATACGACAACTGTAGTCAAATTCCTTGACACGTCTGTGTGTGGTGGCTCTTGATGCCTTGACCCCAGCCTCAGTTCATTCCTTGTGAAGTTCACTCAAATTCTTGAATCGATTTTGCTTGACAATCCTCATAATGCTGCGGTTCTCTCGGTTGGTTGTGCGTCTTTTTCTTCCACACTTTTTCCTTCCACTCAACTTTGTGTTAACATGCTTGGATACAGCACTCTGTGAACAGCCAGCTTCTTTGGCAATGAATGTTTGTGGCTTACCCTCCTTGTGAAGGGTGTCAATGATTGTCTTCTGGACAACTGTCAGATCAGCAGTCTTCCCCATGATTGAGTAGCCTAGTGAACCAAACTGAGAGACCATTTTGAATGCTTAGGAAACCTTTGCAGGTGTTTTGAGTTGATTAGCTGATTGGCATGTCACCATATTCTAATTTGTTGAGATAGTGAATTGGTGAGTTTTTGTTAAATGTGAGCCAAAATCATCACAATTAAAAGAACCAAAGACTTAAACTACTTCAGTCTGTGTGCACTGAATTTATTTAATACACGAGTTTCACAATTTGAGTTGAATTACTGAAATAAATGAACTTTTCCACGAAATTCTAATTTATTGAGATGCACCTGTAGATTGCATTAAATCTTTTTAGAGAACGAAACATTTTCTTATGAACTGTGATTTCTTTTGATACATCATGAAATATAGTAGTATACGGATAACAGAGAAATTATAGCTACAATTAACTTCAAGCTACACATGATTAATGCAGCACTTTTACTTAAACACTATTTTATCACTATTAATCCCCACTGAGTGTTTGTAATCACTTCTGACTGCGATCCAGGGGGGATTTTGGTCAAATGATGAGGCAGAAATATATTGTTAGTAACATCATAGATTAATTTTATGAGGAAGATATGCAGCTTATGTAGGAACTAATGTAATTAGTATTGTAACTATTAACTACTGTTGCCAGAAAGTAATAAGTAAAGTAATAATATTACTTTTGAAAGGAGTAACAAGTAATATATTACATTTCTTGAGTAACGAGCACAAACTGCTGGTTGTTCTATTAAACTGTGGTTCTGTTAGTAAAATAATATCTCCTCAATACATCAGTGAAACTATGATTGATTTAAACAAGCTTTAACACATTAAGAAATGATAAATATTGCTAAAAACTACTGCTAAAGATAGCTGACTTGATAAATGTATTATATTTCCTATAAGAGACTACTACAGTAAAACCATGGTAAACTCTCATACAGACAACATGTGACCGTTCTTTGGTATTTTAATGGAGCATTAACCACATTAGAGACATGACGACACACAAAATAGCTTTCTATGAGACAGACATGCATGCACTTGAAAAGAAGAAAAAAATAAATATATATATATATATGATATTCTAAATAAATATGAAAAGCCGAATTAAATCTTTTTTGAAAAAATTTTCTTGAGATGCAAATGTTGAAAGTCTTGAAAAATGTAACAACATTTAGTGAGTTTATGCTTAAATGCTTAAAACATGAATAAAAGGAGAATTAAACATTTGTTTTACCTTTGAATTAAGATTTGTTTTAGCCTTTGACAGATATTTGTTGTTGTTTTAATCATAAACTCACTTCATTTTGATACATTTCTCAGAAAACAAGACTTCTTATTTTAAGTAATTTTCCTTCTCCAGTAAATTTATCTTTATTTAAAAATGTTTAGTCATTTGCAGGGGAAAACAAGACAAAAGTAAATAATATAATAAAAATCGTGTAATAAAAAAATATATAATTTAGATATATTTTTGAGATGGAAAAATGCAGTTTTAAAAATGCTATGTTCCTATCTGATGACGAGGAATTAACAGAGCAGCCATCAAGTGTTAGAGAGTGTTCTAGGTTATTACATGCGGAGGTTTTAGGTCCGATAATTAACACCTCTGTTTTTTCAGAATTTAGCAGTAAGAAATTACTTGTCCTCCATTTGTTTATATCGACTATGCATTCCGCTAGTTTTTCAAACTGGTATGTTTCGCCGGGCTGCGAAGAAATATAGAGCTGAGTATCATCAGCATAACAGTGAAAGCTAACACCGTGTTTCCTGATGATATCTCCCAAGAGTAACATGTAAAGCGTGAAGAGTAACGGCCCTAGTACTGAGCCTTGAGGTACTCCATACTGCATACTGAGATATGATACCTCTTCATTCACTGCTACGAACTGATGGCGGTCAGATAAGTACGATTTGAACCATGCTAATGCACTTCCATTAATGCCAACAAAGTTTTCTAGTCTATTCAAAAGAATGTTGTGGTCAATAGTGTCGAACGCAGCGCTAACACTACAATCACTATATCTGCACTGTTGTTTACTTTACTGGTTTGCACTCTATCTGCCATATGCCTTGTGCTTTATATGTATATTTTTACATTTTACCTTATTTGTATAGTTGTATTTTGTATTTAATCTGTATTTATGTTATCTGTATGCACCCAAGGGTCTGAGAGTAACGCAATTTCAATTCTCTGTGTGTATGTGCTGTACATGTGGAAGAATTGACAATAAAGCAGACTTGAACTTGAACTTGAACTTAAGATCCAGTAGCAGATGATATATCATCAGATGATAAGGTCATTTGAAACTCTAATGAGAGCACAAAGTTTGACACACAAAGAGTGTGTGTGTGTGTGTGTGTGGTCGTGAGTCGAGACGCTCGCACTAAAGTGGACCGGACGCCGCTGCACATGGCCGCATCCGAGGGTCACACACGCATCGTGGAGCTGCTGCTGAAGGTGAGCGACCAGGGCTGTGCTTCCCAAAAGCATCGTAAGCCTAAGTTGATCGTAGCTGGTTGGTTGGTTTCAATGGGTCTATGATGTACTTAACCCTTTTACGGCCCGCTGTCTCTTTGATGTTTGACTTGCGGTGCATTTGCGGTAATTTTCCTCTTTAAGTGTGGCCTTGCATCATCCAACAACGACTCCATTCATGTGTGTTTCTGCAGCACGGCGCCGACGTGAACGCCAAGGACATGCTGAAGATGAGCGCGCTGCACTGGGCCGTGGAGCACAGCCACAGAGACGTGCTGGAGCTGCTGCTGCGCTTCGGAGCTGATGTTCACGCGCAGAGCAAGTTCTGCAAAAACGCACTGGACATCGCGCTGGACAACAGCAGCCACGAGCTGGCCGAGTTCCTGCAGGTACACGCTTCATCACAGGCTCTGCGGCGTCTGTACGGTTCTCTGAGAGCTCTCTGTCTGTGTTTCAGCTCCAGCAGTGAAGCACTGCTTCGTGAAGCTTCAAAACTTTTGTGAATCATTTGTTTCGATGCAGTGGTTTGGAGCGCATATCAATCTGCCAAAGTCACGTGATCTCAGTAAACGAGGCTTCTCATAACTGTTTCGAAACTTTTCAATGGTTTGTCATTGGGGGGCGATATCAGTAAACACGTGAATTAGAGCTGCACTATTAATCGTTAAAAGATTGCAATCTCGATTCAAACATCCATGCAATTCCACTTTTAAATGACAACGATTCGCTGGTGTCTAATAAACCTTTGAAAAAATCATACCGAAACACTCTGCCGCTGACTCAGAGAGAGCAGTTATCATGTTTAGGTAAAAAACAGCTTCACAAACAGTCTTTTCAACTACACAGTATTATGTCTGTTTTACAGTCATTCATATCATCACAGAAATACTGGGATGAAAGTTTATAATTCAGATATAAACTCTAACGTCTAAGGTAGCGCTCAAAATAGAACAAATCTCCTGAAGAAAGTAATTGGTGCTTCAAATAACGTTTGTGTCGATTGCATCGTTTCACCACTAGGTGCGAAAAGTGACTGTTAAAAAATGTGTTTGTCATTGAATCATTCATTCAAGAGATTTGTTCAAAGATGCTGATTCATCCAGTAATGAAACAAGTGAAGTATATATGAGTTTGAGTCATTGAATCATTCATTCAAACCACTTTTTCACATTTTTAATATAAAAAATTGGTGTATTTAATATATTGTATTTTAAATACATATATATTAAAATGTTGAATAATTCATTCAAATTAATTAAACACTTTTAAATAGACTGCAGCAAAAATCTTGTTTAGTTGGGAGAATCGTGATCTCTATTTGAGACAAAAAAATCATGATTCTCAGTTTATCCAGACTCATGCAGCTCTAGCGTGAATCATGAACCGTGAGTTCATTGAGTTTGTCCCCCAGCGGCGAACCGTTGAACCAGCGTCTATGGTTTTTACCTGATCTCGGATCAGTTTCATCAATTTGTAGACATTTTTAACGAGACATTTGTGTAATTAAGTAGTTAATAGTCTCATACTGGCCTCCATATAGAAGCTATCCGTAAAACAAACAAAGCAAGCCCTACAAATTCATATAAAATATTTTAAAAACCACATATTATACAGACACTTCATATTTCATGGTATTTTATTATTATTATTGCATTTAATGTATTATACTTTCAATAAAACATTTGCAATTGGTTTTTAAAAGCTGTTTTATGCATGTTTTAGCCTGAGTTTTTGTTGCATTTCGCACAATTTTGACCAGTAGGTGTCACTAGCGTGTGGCGTTTCGAGCGCTGCGTGAATCGTTTTGCCAAGCAATTGGTTCGAAGCTTTGAAAAGTGCATTTCTCCCCTCTCCAGTTCTTCAGACAGTCTCGAGCAGTTTGCCTCTGAATGATTTCTGCTTGACTGTCTGGTTTGGTGACAGCGCCACCTGCTGATAAAAACAGGAATGATAAACATTTAAAGGGGACCTATTGTGCAAAAATCACTTTTATAAGGTGTTCGAACACAGTTGTGTGGCTGCAGTGTGTGAAAACAACCAGCCTATAGTGGAACAAATCAGCGGTCTGTCTCGTGCTTCCAGAATGATCGTAAATAGGAATGCGCTAGTTAATAATTGCATATGAAAGCAATGTGAAGTCGACCGTTTTAATTGGTTGAGCTCATAATCACAAGTGGCACTTATGGTGTGTTCACACCAGACGTGAAGCGAATATGTGCATCGTGTCACTATTATTTTACTACTGTATATAAACTGATATTATTATTATTTTTTATTATTGATAGCAGCATCTCTGTAACCATGCTAATAAGATGCAACTTCCACTACAACTGATTGTAATTGTTTTCTGTGCTCCAGACCTATGTCATAACAGACGGCGACAATAATGCTCTCGTCCATTTTCTGATTCAACCGCACGTATCAATAAGCTCTTTGAGTTATTTTTATTGCACCACGATCCTCGTCTGTGTAATTCATAAACGATCATTTATCACGCACAGTACAATCAGATGACTGACTTTTAAACCGAGTACATTTTCTGTAAAGATAACAGGCTTGTACTAATAGTGGAATGTTTGTTTGTATGCTCTTGAAGCTCCACCCTCTTCTGAAAAGGGGGCCGGAGCACCAGCTCATTTGCATTTAAAGGGACACGCACAAAAACGGCACATTTTGGCATATACCCAGTGGCAATTTTAACAAGCTATAAAAAATTATCTGTTGGGTGTTTTGAGCTAAAACTTCACATACACACTCTGGAGACATCAGAGACTTATTTTACATCTTGTAAAAAGGGGTATAGTAGGTCACCTTTAAATAAAAAACAACCGTTCTATCTTTTGGATTCATACTGTGACCAGCATGTCTTTTCTTCACACCCCATTCACTTTTTTCATACTCCTTCAACGAGGTGTGTTCAGTCTTATCCTGAATGAGCTCAGAAACGCACATTTATTGGCAAAAACACAAAACATAAAGTGAGGCTGCATCTCGGCATCACTTGTGTATGGATGCACAACTTTATCCATATTGCCGCCAGAGAGAATCTGTCGCTATAATAACTAAAACCATTACAAATGTATTTGTTACATGAAATAAACGTTAACTGAAATTAAAAAAATATATATAAACGTGAACTAATTTTGCTTCAGCTAGTTGCCAAGGCAGCATTTTTCATTTTCATTTAGTTTAACTTGAAATGAACAATTAAAGTATATATAGGCATATTAAAAAAGAAACAATAGCTAATAAAAATGACAAAAACACAAAAATTACTAAGACTTTAAAATTAAAATACAAAAATAAAAACTAATTCAAAATATATATATAAAAAAAAATCTGTAGTACCTCAATGATACCAAAATAACACTGGTTATAACATTTTGATTAAAAAGTTGAATCAATTTTTGACTCAATTAAAAAAAAAGAAACATATGCATGAAAGAATCATCAGACAGATCCGCTGTGTGTTTAACGCTCCACTTCTGCTCGAACCGTGACACTGATGTACTGTATTTGGCAGCTGTTCAGCTGATGGCTGGATTTCTTCATGGATAAGAAGAAGATGCAGTAATTGAATGCACATGAGCTAATGATATATAATAGAAAATTATGATGTTTGATAATAATATTGATGAAGGTGGTTTCTGTATTTAACATAAACAGCTGTTGTTCCTGTGCAGTGCTGGGAAGGTTACTTTGGAAATGTAACAGGTTACAAGTTACTCTATTTAAAATGTAACAGTAGTGTAACTATTTCAATTACTTTATTAAAGTAATGTAACTGATTACATTTGATTACCTTTCTAAATGTCTAATGTTTTCACCTGTTAATTATTTTGAAACATGTAAAGCAGGCAGGATTAATCTCACAGTAGAACTCAACACTGATTACTGTCAGAGAATCCTTCATCACTTGAATTAAGATTATAATAATTACATTTTAAAGCACAGTCACCACAAAATCAGACTTGCTTTGAGATCCTTCTGAGGTTAAATACTGATTTAAAACCATAACAAGAAATAGTTTAATAGCTGTGGTACTGTTTTTGAAATCAAATATTTGTATAGTTATGACAGAAAACACTGGCATCTAACAATACCTTGGAAAAACAGTTCATCTTAAAAAAGAAAGCATATACACAAACTCAAATAAGAAATAAAACAGTTACTGAATAAGCATGTCTCCTGAAACATTAGTGTCTCATATTTTAGAGCATTCAATGCAATTTGGGAAAGAAATCAAACAAATCTGTATGCATGTGAAAATATTCAAATGTAATCCTTAACATTTTCATAAGTAACTGTAATTTAATTACACATTTTTTCTGTAACACATTTATTTTGAAATTAAATGACGTAATTTAGTTACATGTAACTAGTTACTCCCCAGCACTGTTCCTGTGTCCTAATGTGTTTATGAATATGATTGTGCATCAGGTGGCGATGCAGAACCAGATCAACACAAACCCAGAGAGTTCGGACACACTGACCATCCACACGGCCGTGCCGCGGTTCATCATCGGCCCGGGAGGAGTGGTGAACCTCGCCAGACTCGTGTCGCCCGCCAGCAGCTGCAAACCCACAGGTGACCCGACCTCTCGACCCCCGTGTGCTTATGAATGACCTCCGTGAAAGAGGCCTTTGCGCAAACGCACACTGAAGAAAATGACCCTGCGCGTCTCTGAACAAACAGCGTCTCAGAGCAGCATCAAAGCGCCGTGATTAGAGTGGAGATAAGCCTGATGTTCCTCTCTGCTGCTGTCGTTCAGAATAAGAGCTCTCTTACTGCAGATGTGGTCTGACTCTCGTCTCTGACGCAGTGGTGGCCACAGAGGAGCTGATCACTGCAGACTCCATCGACGGGGCCATACAGCAGGTCATGAGCTCTGGAGGTCAGCAGGTCATCACCATAGTAACAGACGGCATTCAGCTGGGCAACCTGCAGACGGGCGCAGGCATCAGCCAGCCCATAATAGTCACCATGCCTGACGGGCAGCAGAGTGAGAGAGAGAACCAGCTCACATGAGCATCAATATCTGGAGAAATAAAGAGAAACGTGTGTGTGTGTGTGTTTGCTCAGCTCTCTCAGAGTGTGTGTGTGTGTGTGTGTGTTCCTGCAGTGCTGACGGTGTCGGACACAGAGGTGGCAGAGGAGACGGTGATCAGTGAGGAGCCGTGTGTTAAGCGTCAGCGTCTGAAGGAGGAAGACGACGATCTGATGACAGAAACACAAGACGCTCAGATCCAGCAGACGCTCTCACTGGAGGACTTCCAGGTACAGAGACACACCTCCCACAGTTCCTCTCATCAACCTGTTTCTGATGTGTGCAATAACATGCTTTCATTAACATCCCTCTAACTCAAACAGAACAACATGCTGCTCGCAACACCAGTGTCATGGGTTCGATTCCTAGGGAATGCATGATCAAATGTGACCCTGGACCACAAAACCAGTCATAAGGGTCAATTTTGTGAAATTGAAATTTATGCATCATCTGAAAGCTGAATAAATAATCTTTCCATTGATGTATGGTTTGTTAGGATAGGACAATAAAATCTAAATATTGAGAAAATCATCTTTAAAGTTGTCCAAATGAAGTTCTTAGCAATGCATATTACTAATCAAACATTAAGTTTTGATATATTTACAGTAGGACATTTACTAAATATCTTCATGGAACATGATCTTTACTTAATATCCTAATGATTTTTGGCATAAAAGAAAAATGTATAATTGTGACCCATACAATGTATTATTGGCTATTGCTACAAATATCCCCCAGCGACTCAACACTGCTTTTGTGCTGCAGGGTCACACATATGTGTACTTAATGCAATGCAAGTCTCTAATGCATCAATGTAAAATCACTTTTTTTATTATCTAATTAATCAAAGCAGTAATGAGCATATAACACACGTGACACTGTGTGTGCAACAGGAGAAGGTGGCTCTTCTGAAGCAGCTGGAGGAGGCGAACCGCGAGGCGCAGAAATACAGACAGCAGTTCCTGAAGAAGGAGCGGGAGGCGGAGGCGTACAGACAGAAGCTGGAGGTCATCACACGGCAGAGCGTGAAGAAAGCAGCGTGAAAACACGCCGTCAGCTTCTGTGACTGGATCCTTATCATTCATTTCCTTCAGTTCTCCTCATAAAGCGCCTCAGCTGTGGTGCTCATGTGGCCGACACGGGTTCGATTCTGACCCACATCCCAGCACCCTTCACCAGCCTTTGAATAAAGAGACAAAAGCCCCTCAAAACCTGAACGAGGATGTTTAATTGCGCAGTAATGTCAGATTTCTTGATGCACAGTAAAAAATCAAAAGTTGAGGCAACCAGCTTCAGGAGAGTTTTGAGTTTTCTCAACTTGTTGTTTTCAGTTTATACAACAAAAAGTTGAGAAAACTCAAAACTCTCCTGAAGCTGGTTGATTTTTTACAGTGTGTGTTTGATCTGCAGGCCATGTTTGATCGAATCCTTCATCATCAGACTCTGTAAGACTCGTTTTCCTCACTGATAATCAGCATGTTTATAGATTCCTCCTGCTCGCTGTTTGTGATGCATTTTCCAGGATTTCTGTCATAAAGATTATTATTTTTAAAAGACAGCAGTGATTTGGTTTGTTTGAGGAGGATCTGAGCGTCTCTCCAGCACCGATCTGCTGATTCACATCTCAGTTCTAGGTTATTTGTATAGCGCTTTTCATGATACAAATCATTGCAAAGCAGCTTTACAGGAAATTACAGGTTCTAGTAATAGCTTATCAGTGGTGACTATCTCAAGCTGATGTTCATATGGAAGAAATGTAAAGTAAAACTCAAGCAGTTAGTTAATGTCATGTAATCAAACCCACGGTGAACACTATTAACTGCAATGATTATATGTTGTGATTACACTTATAGCTAAATTTGGTTGTTTTGTATGTTGTTTGAGGGTTGGCATCATCTGAGGTGTCTGTATTGCATTGTATTACAGTATTGGAAATATTTTGAGCTCTTCAAACACATATTTCAGATACGGATTGTTTTTGGATTCATGCTGTATCAGTGCTGCTCTGAATCAAAGTGTGTCTTTGTGTAGTTGGTGTGTTGGCGTCGTCGTCTCCATCAGCAGCAGCTATTAGAGCGGATGGAGATCTGAAGCGGCTCAAACGCGCTGATCTTCTCTTCCTCTGACAGACGTGATGCAGACACAGGAGTACCTGATGAGAGGTAACCATCTGGATGAGGCATGTCTACATGAATGAGTTTTTATTTAGTTTTACAGGACACAACTGATCTTATACAGCCTAAGCAGTTTAGTTAAAAAGCTCTTGATTTGTACATAAATGACTGATGGTTTCTATCACTTTTACTTCCTGAATTTTAACCCTAAGGCTGCTGAAGTTCCACAGCGCTAACCCTGTCGCAGGTGTGGGCGCAGTGCGGCATGCAGCAGCTCTACCAGCCCTTCAGACGAGGATGGGTCACCAGCACTCACTCACTCACACACACACACATATACACACACACACACACACAATCTCGTAAGCACATACACAAACTCACACACACACACTCTTGTGTACTTGTGCACTCTCACACACACACTCACAGACACCCTCGTGCACTCATACACAATCTCGCATGCACACACAAACTCACACACATAACACTCGCGCTCACACTCTTGTGTACTTGTGCACACACTCACTTTTATTCACACACACACACACACTCACATGCATACTCTTGCACATGGACACACTCACACATGCATACTCACACATACACACTTACATGCAGACACACACTCACATGCATACTCTAGCACATGGACACAAACACACACTCACGCTTACACACACACTCACACACACACTCATGCGTGCACACGCTCACACACGCTCACACACACTCACGCTTACACACACACACACACACACACGCTCACACACACACACACACTCACGCTCACACACACACACTCACTCTCACACACGCACACACAAACACACACACACACACTCTCTCACACACAGACAGAGGTTCAGCCAGAGAGACTTTAAGGTGTTGAAACACACAGTAGTTTGGATCATCAGAGTCTGTCAGGACGAATAAAATCAGTCATTGGTTTGTAAGATGAAGTGCTGTTCTTTATATGGGAATCTAGAGGGGGTCGAGCGTGTTTCATGTTTATGTGTGTGACCTCTGACCTTTAGGCACCTCGACACACAGGCCTCTGGAGTCTCTGAGCGGCTCCGTGTCGTACTGAATGATGGCGTAGGGGAACAGTTTCTGTGTGATGAGAGAAAAACACTGAGGATCAGAGCTTTCGGCGGAAGCACAGCGAGAGTCACGTGACGTCACGTCTTACTTTGTGCAGAAAGCTGACCAACAGCGCCGATCTTTCCAGCGTAGTTCACGAATTATTCTTACTCCTCTATGCCCTGCCTTTCTGAAACGCGCCGATTTTTACAAAGCTCATCGGTCTGAAAAGCGAGGTCTGCTGTGATTGGCCAGCTATCCAGTGCGTTGTGATTGGCCGAATACCTCAAGCGTGTGACGGAAATGTTACGCCCCTCACCATATTTGGAAACACACAGCGTCTCCAAAGCAACAATACTACAGCAAGAATAAAAGTTACGCCTTCTCTCTTTGCGTGAACATTTGGGTGGCATTATGCAAATCTTCCCACATAGTGATGTAGACATGTGGGGGCGTGTTAGAACGAGGTGTTTTAGGGGGGTGAGGTTAACTCTTAACTTTGATAAAGAATATCTCTTTGGATTTGAGACTTTAGTCTTTGCAACTTTACAGATCTTCTTTATGCACCAAGAGCTTGTAACACTCCAAAGAGAAAGGACACATTGAAATCCCATCATATGACCCTTTAAACACTTGTGCTGGAATTTCCAGTTCAATGCACCATGAATGGAATAAAACGTGATCTCCTCGTGTCGTGCATTCGGGAGATCGCTTTCACTGCGGTATTCCAAGTAAAGGCCAGCAGCTATTCCGAGATCAGAGCCCGCCCTTAACGGACGCTCTGATTGGCCGACGGCTCCGTCACATGAGCTCATGTGCTCTTCAGGATCCGGTTTCAATGACCAAAGTAAGAATATTCACAATTTACCTACGAAACCTCAACGGCCAGGAAATAAAACACCCAAACCGGAAATGTGATCTCAAGAGAGTGACTCTAGTGAAGAGAGCGGCATGCTGGCTCCTCCGGATAGTTAGTGCTATTAAAAAGAACCAGCTGTGCTGGGATCAGTTTTCAGAGAGTAACAGCTCTACAACACACACACACACACATACTTGCATTTGTTGTTTACAGGGACTCTCCATAGGTGTAATGGTTTTTATACTGTACAGACCGTATATTCTATTGCCCTACACCAACCCTACCCCTAAACCTACCCCTCACTATTTCAGATTTTCAATACACTCCATTCTGTGTGATTTATAAGCGTTTTGAAAAGTGGGGACATGGGGTAATGTCCTGAAAAGTCATCTTCTCCTTGTAATACCTGTCATACCTTTGTCATTATACACATGTATGTCCTCATTTGTCACAAAAGCGCGTACACACCATCACACACACACACACCACAAAAACAGCTTCACACTGACCACGACCAACTCACACAACGTTTGGTAAATAAAATCAAAGTTTCTATTTAAACAGATATCATATGTCTGTTTTCCCAATAGTAACAATATAGTAACTGAACTGAAAGAGCATTATCTAAATGGAAACTTCTATTGCTCTTAAAGGGATCATGACACGAGAAATCAAATTTGCCTTGATCATTTGGCATATAAGAGGTCTTTGTACCATTAAAACATCCTGCAAGTTTCCTAGCTTAAAACGTCCTCCTCAAAATAAACAAAGCATTTATTTAAATCAAGCTCCAAAAACGCCTCGTTTGGATCTGAGGCGCAAGGTGACGTCACAGGGGCACGGGCATTTGCATAAACACGCCTCCAGAGCAAGACATCGACCAATAGTCTTCTTCTCAGCATAGGCCCCGCCCACGGGTGTTCAGTCGCTAACGGCTGACACTTGATCATGCTGAATGCGAGCGTCGTGTCAAAAGATAATAGACGTGACAATCACTACACTACCTCGTCTACACTGGATACAGTGCACAGTATATATAGTCTGTCGTCAGGACAAATGCAGTGAAAGAACGTTCGCTTTTACGTGTTTGGTTTAAACAGCTCGTTCATGTCTTTGTACAGATATCAGAAGAATCTCAGCGTAAGGAACAAGTGATAGTTTATTTTTGAATGGCATCCCGGATCGTGTCGGAGGATTTTGTTTTGTAATCGAGGCTCAGTGTCATGCACAGAGTCACAAAGAAATGTGTTGAAAGATGAAGAGGAACTAGATCTGACTGCAGCTGCATCACAAACCGTAAATGATTTCATAATGCTTTGTCTGGAATTATTTTTGATAATGTTGTCAAAACTCGCGTGCAATAGCGAGGGGGCGTTGATAGTGTTTCCTATGCAGTGACGTTAGCCAATCATAACAGTTGCTAATTAATGAGAAGCCTTAAAGGACACGCCCCTTAAAACAGCTCGTTTTAGACAGAGGGTTGGAAATAATCATTTTTTTCACATTTATTTTAGTTTTTTGTGCAAAAAGTTTATCAACATCATCAGTAAACCTCAAGGAACATATTTCTTAAAAAATCCATGTCATGACCCCTTTAGCAGAATAGTTCACTCAATAACTGAAATTCTGAATTTCCGTTAAGTCTGAACTACTTCTTTAAATTAATACGGATTAATATCTACACTAACCCAAAACTCTGATAGCATTTCTCGCCGTTTGCAGAAGCATGCACCAAATCTGCAAAACCAGGCACTGATCTCAGCCTTAGACTCGGTTTTCAATTTCATAAAACACTTTTTGCAAAACACAACACACAGTTCTCTGTGTAACACACACACATCTAACAGGAATTAATATTATGGCAAAGGAGTTTGCTTTTGAGATGTGTTTGTGATATTTTGAGATGTAAGGCATGTTGTACTTTGTGTGCAGTTCTTGGATTAGTGTGTAAAGTTTGGGGAAAAAAGGAAAAGTTTTGAAAATGTGTGAAGCAGCTGAAAAAAAAACTAATACTATAAAAAAGTATCAATTTTTTATGAAATAATAAAATAGATGTGTGTTTTATTGTGTTTAGTTAGCTGTACTTTGTTACTATTATTTAACCCAAACAACCCAACTACAGTTTGAGATTAATTGGAATCCAGGACAAAAAAACATGATTTTGGAACATTTTTAAAAACGGAGTTATCTGTTTTTGCAAATGAACTCTTCATATATATATATATATATATATTAACTACATATTATCATATGAACAGCCAGTTACTGAAACAACTGGCTCATAAGAGTCTTTTTTTTTTCATTTTCTCCGCTTGAACACACTTTGCAACCCCTGCTCTAAAGAAACGGTTCTTAAGACTGGTTTGTTCTGGAACTGGACTGTATGTGTCACACTGTACATGTGTTGTATAGTGCTGGGGCTTTGGATTCAGCTCAAGAACCAAAAAGATTTGTTCGTGGGCTGTTTCTTCTGATCACAAACTCACAACAGTCAGTGAGTGAGTCTTTGAACAGATCCATTACAAAAGCAACAAGTCAAGTATGCAGGTCTACAAATGTCATCAAAATGAAATCTAGTTGAGTAGTGTTCTTCTGTTCATTAAAACAGCAGTGATTTGCTCCTCACGGTGTGCTTGAATGGCTCACACTAGAGTCAGTCAGGGCAAATTACAGGGTGAATGACATTTGTTTTGAAGAGCAAACTCTGCATTTCCTTCCGGAATCGTGTTTTATTTTTTCTCTGAGTTGTGTTAGTCTGCTGGAAGAACAGGGTCGCTTGTAAACTCTTATCATTGCTCGACTAACTCAAACCCCAGAGTCGATCAATCTTTGAGAGCCTCTGTAAGAGCAATCATTAAACAGTCTGAAGTCAGTGCTCTGAAGCTTATATTTAGTGTGCACGAGCACTCTGTGGCTGTTAGGTTTCACATAAACATTTGACATGTTTTGGCTTTACATAAGCAGCTGTATCCAGATCTGCGGTGGATTCTCAGAGCTGTTGCATCATTTCCAGAGCTTTCTGAACGAGGAGTCGTGTCAAGACGAGCGTCGCTATCAGCGCTTCGAGGGACTCCTGATAGCAGCTGTTTTACTCCAGCTGATAAATCAAGCCCAGTGACCTCTCGCTATCAAAATACAGGCCGAGTTTCATTCAGCAAATAATTGTGACATCCCACTCCCACGCGCTCACCGCAGATGGCTGTATGAGTGGAAAGAGTCCTGATTCCCAGCATGCACTGCAGGAGCGAGATCTGTGTGTTTGAAGTGCTAGAACGAAGGTCACAGCGATAGAGAAGAGGGAGGAGACGTGTGCCGATAACGTCCTGCTGCACCGCTTTCTTTATGTGAAGTGGATTCAGAAAATATGTGAATTAGATCTTGAGTTATCAAACATGTTTTATGGTCTTGCTAATCACTATCTAATAAAGCTAGTCAACTACAGTCACACTTCTGAGTCTCAGTCCAGTGTGAGCTTGTGGAAGCAGCACATGTTACAGAGAAACCCACAGCTGTGTCTCGTTCACTGACTGGAAACCCTACTGTACAAACACTGTGTGGCACTGGCATAGTCCAATATTTCAAGAAAATGAAGACGAAATCAGCCGAGCTCATCGAGTGACCTGCTTCTTGAGTGTTTGTGGTGTTCGGTGTGTAAATACTGCACTTCTGTACTCTGCCTTGACTAATGTGTATCTGTGAGACTCTGCAGCAGAAAAGCAGTGTTAAGTCGCTGGGGGATATTTGTAGCAATAGCCAACAATACATTGTATGGGTCACAATTAAACATTTCTCTTTTATGCCAAAAATCATTAGGATATTAAGTAAAGATCATGTTCCATGAAGATATTTAGTATGTTTCCTACCGTAAATATATCAAAACTTAATGTTTGATTAGTAATATGCATTGCTAAGAACTTCATTTGAACAACTTTAAAGATGATTTTCTCAATATTTAGATTTTTTTGCACCCTCAGATTCCAGATTTTCAAATATTGTCCGATCCTAACAAACCATGCATCAACAGAAAGCTTATTTATTCAGAAACTTATGACTGGTTTTGTGGTCCAGGGTCACATATATTTAGTATTATTATTGATTTAACTGCATGGACACTATCAGACGAGAACAACCTTGATCTGAATTAATCTAAATGAGGTCTTCTGTAGAACTTGTTTCATAATAGATGAACTTCACACAGTTATTGAACTGAAGTGAATCAACACTTAACTGAAGTGATCTGAACAATCACAATCGTTCAGAGCTGCTTTACAGCAGAATTTGAATTTCTCTCATATTTGATAAAGTTTGCATAATTGTTGTTATTTTTCTGTTGAACTCATTGCAAACATACAGGTGTGCGGTTTTTATTAAAGAAGTTTGATCTCAACGGTTTGCTCAGGATTGTTATCAGAAATGGCCGATTGGGACAAGGTGCTTGTTTGTTCTTAATTCATTGATTAGGAGGATATTCATTCAAAACAATGATGTTTGTATGTTACCGTTACAGTCTGCTGTAAAACACAGATTCGGCAGAAACGGTAAGTGTTTCTGTGGTGGACTCATCTGTGCTGTCTTTCCCAGGATTTACGGCTCTTTGGAGTTACTATGGATGTGGATTCCCTCATTATGGCTTTAATGTTGGCTAATTTCTGGAGTCCATTTCAAGACCAGAGCTGAAACAGAGGGGTTTCATGACACTCTCAAATGAGCTATTATTAGTGAAAGATGCGTGTGAACTCTGCCTGAGTGCTGCAGGACTGAAGCTCGTTCATGAAGTCCAGGGTTCAGCTCAATACACACATCAGGACTTTTGATCTCGCATTCATTCATTTGTAGAGTGTCCTGCACGTAGCAAAAGACACGTTTTAGAGATTGTTTTATAAATGCACATTTATGTCTTGGAATTACTAGTTTTTCCTTCTCTCTTACTGTCAGTTTTAGGGAAAGTCAATCGATTCCATTGATATGTTGTCTTGTTTGATCTCGTCTTTCTCTCATTGATACCTTTTATGGCAAACTTTGTTCTTTAAATGAAAAGCCTACTCTTCAGTTTCTCTACCACATCTGCTCTCTGCTTGTCCTGGTTTTCTCACACTCAAATTTGACTGAGCTTTGTTAAGTAAAGCAGTAGTCTATCGCATATGATAGCCACCACTATGTTCGATACGGTCCAGTTAGTTTATTTAAATCCTGTACTATTTTTGGTGTTCATGATAAATGGCTCTGTGCGCTGGTGATGTATTGGAGCAGATTTAAAATGACGAAAAAAAACTGATTTGGACAACTTTAAAGCTGAAGCATTTAAGTTTTTAGGTCTTAAAAAAAAGTTCAGAATAGCCATCGTTAAAGGTGGGGTAAGTGATTTCTGGTAGTCAATGTTGACATTTGAAATCACCAAAACAAACACGCCCCTACTCCAAAAGGGTCTCGCCCCTATTCTGATAGCTCCGCCCCACACATACGTACGCAACCCAGGCAACGATTAGTTCTGTGAAACAAAGCAAAACCAATGTTACACCGTGTCTACACCGGTCACGACAAAATATCATAGAACTCAATATAATCAGTGATGCTGTCTACACCATAGATATATATATATACACATCGATGCGGCACGACACGACAAATCCCCGACAGAAAACTGCTGCTGCGTTCTATTCATGACGTAACTGGGCCCGAATCAGTTTTTCTAAAGCGTTTTTGAAAAATCGCTTACCCCACCTTTAATTTTGAAAAAATGCTGGATGGAAACGCCAAGATGCACATAAATTCTAAAAATGCGCATAAAAAAACGTACATGCTCAACTAAGTAGGATAAATTTCTCATCCGGTAAGAAAACATGCTCATAAACTGTAATGGAAACACTTTTACTGAATAAATTCCTTAATGCGCATCAAAGTCTGCGCGCTCTGAAGCCCGTAATTTATTGTATACAAAAAATATTATATACAGTGCCTTCTACTATACTGCAACAAATGTAATTTTTCTTCATGGATAAAATCAGGAAGTGATGATTTTTTCTGCACCAGCCTTGGCTCGACCAATGGGAGAATCGGGGGCGTGGCTAAGGGTTTGTTCGCTCATTGGCTGATGGGGCTTCGCGCAGAAATTACATACTCAAGCTTTGAGCAATTTATAATTTCTTTGCAAAAAAACTTAAAGTAGTATTGTGTTGCTCATAACCTCCTTACCACTAATAACCCCTGGCTCACAGTACATGAACTGCTTTTTAATATTTATATTTTCCTCTTGGTCAGCATTTAAGATCACTTGTTTTAAATGAGCATTTTACGCAGATGACACAGACATGCACATGGATTATTAACCTAGTTATAATATGACTTTGTTTTCTTTCTGACATCAAAACACGATGACGCAATTTAGCCTGTAAGCAGCATTAAGGCTGATAAAGGTATTAATGTTGTCAGTGGAAGCTTGTAAATGTAAGTTTGATGCGAGCTTAACATCAGAATAATGTTTTTTTCACCTCAGAGATATGTTATCTTCTTCTCTGTCTGGAAGCTGGTCAATATTCTTGTGTTTTCCTCGCATTGGCATGCAGGTCTCATGTGGATATGTGCAAAACTCTGCTCCAGAGCCCCGAAGTGATCCTGAGTCTGTCAGAGCTTTTCACTCGGATTCTTCATCATGTATATAGTCAGCCAGTCGCTGTGTATGGAGGACAGAGCTTCACCTGAACCCAATCTAAAGCCATTTAACTCTTTTCATTGTTTTAAAGTTGATCATTTAAATTGATATGCATTTTTGCTTATTTGTACTTTTATAGCTACCTTGCTTCTTATGTCTGTCTTCCTTGAGGGCGCTGTATGAAAGTCATTATTATTCTTATTATCCAGCAGCTGGTTACAGTATTGCAGTGGCGTTGCGTCACGACGCGACAGATAGCGACAGAATGTGCTGCGGTCAGGATTGACGTCACGTGACGCTGCTTCAAGAATTTGGCTATAAAAGCGCGTCCCCGCGGCGCCTCACATCAGAACTGCTGCTGCGTGCCTCAGAGCTCCAGAACCAGCTCCAGAACCAGAACCAGAACCAGAACCAGAACCAGAGCCAGAGCCAGAGCGCCATGCTGCGTGTGCGGTGCCTGAGAGGAGGGAGCCGCGGAGCTGAAGCCGCTCATCTGATCGGTGCTGTGGTGAGTCTTTAGAGAGTAAAGCACTGTAATGAGTGTGTCATGAGATTCTTATGTAATGCATTTACAGAAACTCACACATACCATCATAATTATAAAAGCTGATTGATTTGATCATTTAAAAAAATTGTTAAACTGTTAAATGCATTCTGAGACTGTAATCATCTTATGATCATGTTCTCAGAAACAGCAGCATTGGCTGGAGCTGGAGATCATGTGTTGTGAGTGAGTGACAGCACAGCTGTAGACCAGAGATCAGACACCCAGGAGCACGCAGAGAGCTGTAGACCAGAGATCAGACACCCAGGAGCACGCAGAGAGCTGTAGACCAGAGATCAGACACCCAGGAGCACGCAGAGAGCTGTAGACCAGAGATCAGACACCCAGGAGCACGCAGAGAGCTGTAGACCAGAGATCAGACACCCAGGAGCACGCAGAGAGCTGTAGACCAGAGATCAGACACCCAGGAGCACGCAGAGAGCTGTAGATCAGACCGTGCAAGCGCAGGCAGCGTGTTATTATCGCGATCATTGCGCAACAGCAGCGTGTCGGAGTCGAGTTCGAACCCTGATTCCCGCTTGCTTCATTCATTCAATTCATTCATTCCTGACACAGTGTGCCATTTACAGAATGCCTTTTAACACACGTAATGTGATTCTGTGTGAGTGTGTTTGTGTAAAAAACAACAACATTTGGTTACACTTTATTTTAAGGTGTTCTTGTTATAGTGTAATTACATATTTAAGTACTGAGTTATATTAATTAACTGCATGTACTTACTATATGGTTAGAGTAAGGATTAGGGTTGGTTCAGGGTTACTTGCGTGTAATTATGCGTAATTTATTGTTACTATAATAGTAAGTACATGTAACGTAACAAGGCACCTTAAAAGAAAGTGTAACCAACATTTTTAATGTTTTGTCTAATGATTATGCTAACTAAGCGTAAATAAGTTGTAAATAAAACAATGTTTACTGCAGAATGTTTTACAAGAACTAAAACTTTCAGGTTTAATTTGCTAGCAATTTCTGAATGAAAATAGTTTCTACACCATTTTTCATTTTGCTTTGACTAATTTAGCCACTGAAGGACTGTGTAATTCGCATGTGCATTCGTCTCATTGCTCTTTCTTGACCTCTGTTGTTGTTTGGTTCGGTTTGTGTCGCGCAGGTGGGTCGCGCGGTGTCGGGATGGGTGTCGCGCACGTTCCGCAGCACCTCGAGTTCCGCCGCCGCGCTCCCGCTCACCGCAGACGAGCCGGTTACCGAGCATACGCCCGAGGACTGCCCCGTGTGCGCACACAACGAGTGGGACCCGCTCGAGGAGGTGATCGTAGGTAGAGCCGAGAATGCCTGCGTCCCCCCATTCACCGTGGAGGTCAAGGTACAGAACACACACATACACACACACACACACATACACACGCACACACACACACACACAGACACAGACACCCTCTCACACACACACACGCACTCACACACCAACACACACACACACACAGGCACAGACACACTCTCACACACGCACACAGACACAGACACCCTCTCACACACACACACGCACTCACACACCAACACACACACACACACAGGCACAGACACACTCTCACACACGCACACAGACACAGACACCCTCTCACACACACACACGCACTCACACACCAACACACACACACACACAGGCACAGACACACTCTCACACACGCACACAGACACAGACACCCTCTCACACACACACACGCACTCACACACCAACACACACACACACACAGGCACAGACACACTCTCACACACGCACACAGACACAGACACCCTCTCACACACACACACGCACTCACACACCAACACACACACACACACAGGCACAGACACACTCTCACACACGCACACAGACACAGACACCCTCTCACACACACACACGCACTCACACACCAACACACACACACACACAGGCACAGACACACTCTCACACACGCACACAGACACAGACACCCTCTCACACACACACACGCACTCACACACCAACACACACACACACACAGGCACAGACACACTCTCACACACGCACACAGACACAGACACCCTCTCACACACACACACGCACTCACACACCAACACACACACACACACAGGCACAGACACACTCTCACACACGCACACAGACACAGACACCCTCTCACACACACACACGCACTCACACACCAACACACACACACACACAGGCACAGACACACTCTCACACACGCACACAGACACAGACACCCTCTCACACACACACACGCACTCACACACCAACACACACACACACACAGGCACAGACACACTCTCACACACGCACACAGACACAGACACCCTCTCACACACACACACGCACTCACACACCAACACACACACACACACAGGCACAGACACACTCTCACACACGCACACAGACACAGACACCCTCTCACACACACACACGCACTCACACACCAACACACACACACACACAGGCACAGACACACTCTCACACACGCACACAGACACAGACACCCTCTCACACACACACACGCACTCACACACCAACACACACACACACACAGGCACAGACACACTCTCACACACGCACACAGACACAGACACCCTCTCACACACACACACGCACTCACACACCAACACACACACACACACAGGCACAGACACACTCTCACACACGCACACAGACACAGACACCCTCTCACACACACACACGCACTCACACACCAACACACACACACACACAGGCACAGACACACTCTCACACACGCACACAGACACAGACACCCTCTCACACACACACACGCACTCACACACCAACACACACACACACACAGGCACAGACACACTCTCACACACGCACACAGACACAGACACCCTCTCACACACACACACGCACTCACACACCAACACACACACACACACAGGCACAGACACACTCTCACACACGCACACAGACACAGACACCCTCTCACACACACACACGCACTCACACACCAACACACACACACACACAGGCACAGACACACTCTCACACACGCACACAGACACAGACACCCTCTCACACACACACACGCACTCACACACCAACACACACACACACACAGGCACAGACACACTCTCACACACGCACACAGACACAGACACCCTCTCACACACACACACGCACTCACACACCAACACACACACACACACAGGCACAGACACACTCTCACACACGCACACAGACACAGACACCCTCTCACACACACACACGCACTCACACACCAACACACACACACACACAGGCACAGACACACTCTCACACACGCACACAGACACAGACACCCTCTCACACACACACACGCACTCACACACCAACACACACACACACACAGGCACAGACACACTCTCACACACGCACACAGACACAGACACCCTCTCACACACACACACGCACTCACACACCAACACACACACACACACAGGCACAGACACACTCTCACACACGCACACAGACACAGACACCCTCTCACACACACACACGCACTCACACACCAACACACACACACACACAGGCACAGACACACTCTCACACACGCACACAGACACAGACACCCTCTCACACACACACACGCACTCACACACCAACACACACACACACACAGGCACAGACACACTCTCACACACGCACACAGACACAGACACCCTCTCACACACACACACGCACTCACACACCAACACACACACACACACAGGCACAGACACACTCTCACACACGCACACAGACACAGACACCCTCTCACACACACACACGCACTCACACACCAACACACACACACACACAGGCACAGACACACTCTCACACACGCACACAGACACAGACACCCTCTCACACACACACACGCACTCACACACCAACACACACACACACACAGGCACAGACACACTCTCACACACGCACACAGACACAGACACCCTCTCACACACACACACGCACTCACACACCAACACACACACACACACAGGCACAGACACACTCTCACACACGCACACAGACACAGACACCCTCTCACACACACACACGCACTCACACACCAACACACACACACACACAGGCACAGACACACTCTCACACACGCACACAGACACAGACACCCTCTCACACACACACACGCACTCACACACCAACACACACACACACACAGGCACAGACACACTCTCACACACACACACTCTCTCTCTCTCTCTCTCTCTCTCTCTCACTCACTCACTCACATGCACACACACACGCTCTCTCTTGCTCTCGCTCTCACACTCTCACACACACACACACACACACGCTCTCTCACACACATACTTATATGTATACCATTATATTTACATATATTTATTATAGTTACTTCATTGTTTGGAAGAGTAAGTTACATGTAACCGAAGTAAATGTTACTGCAATCTGTTACAGTTACTGAGATAAAAGTGTAATTTAATTACAGTTACTTATGAAAATGTTACTGTAAGGATTATAAAGGGCGTTACATCTGAATATTTTCACACGCATTGCAGATATAATTGATTTTTTTCTCCAAATTGCATTGACTGCTTTAAAATATGAGACTAATGTTTCAGGAGTTTAGGACACAGAATAGAACACATGCTTATTCAGTAACTGTTTTATTTCCTATTTGGGTTTGTATATGGTTTATTTTTTAAGATGAACTGTTTTTCCAAGGCATTGTTAGATGCCAGTGTTTTCTGTCATAGCTATACAAAGATTTGATTTCAAAATCAGTATCATAGTTACTAAAATATATCTTGTTATGATTTTAAATCTGTATTTAACCTCAGAATGATCTCAAAGTAAGAAGAGGTGCTAAAGTCTGATTTTGTGGTGTCTGTGCTTTAAAATTAAATTATTACAATATTAATTAAAGTGATGAAGAATTCTGAAAGTCTGACATTAATCAGTGTTGAGTTCTACTGTGAGATTAATCCTGCCTGCTTTACATGTTTCAAAATGATTAATGGTTAAAAACATTCATTAGAAATTTAGAAAAGTAATCGGTAACATCACTTTAAAAAATGATTGAAATAGTTACACAACTTATTACATTTTAAATGTAGTAACTTGTAATCTGTAACTTATTACATTTCCAAAGTAAATTTCCCAACACTGGTTATCGTTATAGTTATCATAAGACTAGTGGACTTTATAAACCATGCAATGAGCAACAGAAGTCTTTTCCATCACATCAGAGAACTGCTAACCTAACCATAAGCTGTACTGCTGCTGTGTGTCTGCAGGCCAACACCTATGAGAAATACTGGCCCTTCTACCAGCAGTTTGGGGGACAGACATTCCCGAAGGACCACGTGAAGAAAGCAGTCTCTGAAATCGAGGAAATGTGCAATATTCTGCAGCATGAGGGAGTTACAGTGAGACGACCGGAACCCATCGACTGGTCAGTGGAGTATAAAACCCCGGACTTCACCTCCACCGGTGAGAGCTGACCACTCACTCAAACACACACTCTCACACACACACACGGAGTTCAATGATGAACTGTCTTTAACTGAAAAATGAGTGTTTACTATTGTCATTTTGCATTATTGACACTATTTTCCTAATTAATGCTGTTCAGTTGCTTTGACACAATCTGTATTGTTAAAAGCGCTATATAAATAACGGTGACTTGACTTGACTTGACACACTCACTCACTCACGCACAAACACACACACACACACTCTCACACACACACACGGAGTTCAATGATGAACTGTCTTTAACTGAAAAATGAGTGTTTACTATTGTCATTTTGCATTATTGACACTATTTTCCTAATTAATGCTGTTCAGTTGCTTTGACACAATCTGTATTGTTAAAAGCGCTATATAAATAACGGTGACTTGACTTGACTTGACACACTCACTCACTCACGCACAAACACACACACACACACTCACACACACACACTCACTCACACACACACGCTCACACACACGCTCACACACTGATATCAGCGCTGACACTGACAGGCTGGTTTTCTGTGCAGGCATGTACGCAGCAATGCCGAGAGATATCCTGATCGTGGTGGGGAACGAGATCATCGAGGCCCCGATGGCCTGGAGGGCCCGGTTCTTCGAGTACCGAGCATATCGGCCCCTCATTAAGGAGTACTTCAGGCAAGGAGCCAAGTGGACCACTGCACCCAAACCCACCATGAGTGACGAGCTGTACGATCAGGTGTGAACAGATGTGTGTGTGTGTGTGTGTGTGTGTGTGTGTGTGTGTGTGTGTGTTTTAGCGATGTCCTGTCAATATCTTGCAAAATGACTTCTCAGGGTATTTGGATTTGGTTTTCTTTGCTTGTTTTTTGTATTCAAATGAAAGAATAAAATGTGTGTAGGAATACCCCATCCGCACCGTGGAGGACAGACATAAGCTGGCCGCTCAGGGGAAGTTTGTCACCACTGAGTTCGAGCCGTGTTTCGACGCTGCAGACTTCATCAGGGCCGGCACTGATATCTTTGTACAGAGGAGTCAGGTGAGCGTCCTCATCCGCTCCGAGCTCACTGCTCTCTCATGCTCCAGCTCCTGTTGAGAACTCTTCCAGCTCCTCACGTTTTTACTGACAGGTTACAAACTTCATGGGCATCGAGTGGATGAGACGTCACCTCGCTCCCACCTACAAGATCCACATCATCTCCTTCAAAGACCCCAACCCCATGCACATCGACGCCACCTTTAACATCATCGGCCCGGGGCTGGTGCTGTCGAACCCGGATCGGCCCTGCAGGCAGGTCAGTGCTGTGCTGTCACCTAGTGTTGATCTGTAGCACTGCAGCCAGACGCTCACATGATGGTGACTCTCTCCTGCAGATCGAGATGTTCAAGAAGGCCGGCTGGACTGTGGTGACTCCTCCAGCTCCTCTTATTCCAGACAGTGAGTACAGCCAGTTCTGACGTGAGTTTGGTGGCAGGCAAACTCTTCAGTCAAAGCACAACCTTCAGTCACATCAGAGCACCCAAACATCATTTTGTGAACAATTCATCTGTGCATAAAACAACTTTTATAATTGTTTAATTAAAGTGTCATAGCTGGATCTTCTCCAGTCATTTAAGGCTCTTAACATACACTTTTCAGAGCCACGCCGTCATCTCAACATCCAATCAGCAACTGATGCACAGAATCAAGTCCCGCCCTACATTTTTCTTTTTCAATAATTTGTTACAATCAGATGTCCGTCACAATGCAGAAGAAAAGATCTGCTGCTATTTCCATTTCATTGTGACTTTAAAGGAATAGTTCACCTTCAATTGCTGCTGGTCCCCATTGACTTGCATAGTGTTTTTTCCCATACTATGGAAGTCAATGGGGACCAGCAACTGAAGGTGAACTGTCTCTTTAAGGACATACAGCAACACAACATGCACCAGATTTCGATTAAAATCATGATCTGATTGATAAAAATAACTCTGTAGTTCAGATGCCCCGACACATATTCACCACAACAGTTTTGTATTATTTTGCAAACCAACATTTTTCAAATATAGCAATCCATTTAAAACACTGATATACAATAAATTTAAAACAAACTTTTGTAAAACGCAAATGACTCTAAATGACCGATTCGCATCTTGAGCTGATGTTGCCAACATCTTACAGATGCATTAATAATATATTACAATTTTAATCAGATATTCAAACTACAACATGGAAATGATTTTAAGTCAAATAAATAATGTTTCAAATGAAATGTCATGTTGCGTGTCACCTGATGGCACTCGGTCACTGCTCTAATAAATGCATATTTCATTTTGCATAGATGATGATGAATGTCCATGTACGAAATATTTGGCTTAACATGAGTGTTTTCATGTGTGTGTGTGTGTGTGTGTGTGTGTGTGTGTGTGTGTGTTTTAGCGATGTCCTGTCAATATCTTGCAAAATGACTTCTCAGGGTATTTGGATTTGGTTTTCTTTGCTTGTTTTTTGTATTCAAATGAAAGAATAAAATGTGTGTAGGAATACCCCATCCGCACCGTGGAGGACAGACATAAGCTGGCCGCTCAGGGGAAGTTTGTCACCACTGAGTTCGAGCCGTGTTTCGACGCTGCAGACTTCATCAGGGCCGGCACTGATATCTTTGTACAGAGGAGTCAGGTGAGCGTCCTCATCCGCTCCGAGCTCACTGCTCTCTCATGCTCCAGCTCCTGTTGAGAACTCTTCCAGCTCCTCACGTTTTTACTGACAGGTTACAAACTTCATGGGCATCGAGTGGATGAGACGTCACCTCGCTCCCACCTACAAGATCCACATCATCTCCTTCAAAGACCCCAACCCCATGCACATCGACGCCACCTTTAACATCATCGGCCCGGGGCTGGTGCTGTCGAACCCGGATCGGCCCTGCAGGCAGGTCAGTGCTGTGCTGTCACCTAGTGTTGATCTGTAGCACTGCAGCCAGACGCTCACATGATGGTGACTCTCTCCTGCAGATCGAGATGTTCAAGAAGGCCGGCTGGATTGTGGTGACTCCTCCGACTCCTCTTATTCCAGACAGTGAGTACAGCCAGTTCTGACGTGAGTTTGGTGGCAGGCAAACTCTTCAGTCAAAGCACAACCTTCAGTCACATCAGAGCACCCAAACATCATTTTGTGAACAATTCATCTGTGCATAAAACAACTTTTATAATTGTTTAATTAAAGTGTCATAGCTGGATCTTCTCCAGTCATTTAAGGCTCTTAACATACACTTTTCAGAGCCACGCCGTCATCTCAACATCCAATCAGCAACTGATGCACAGAATCAAGTCCCGCCCTACATTTTTCTTTTTCAATAATTTGTTACAATCAGATGTCCGTCACAATGCAGAAGAAAAGATCTGCTGCTATTTCCATTTCATTGTGACTTTAAAGGAATAGTTCACCTTCAATTGCTGCTGGTCCCCATTGACTTGCATAGTGTTTTTTCCCATACTATGGAAGTCAATGGGGACCAGCAACTGAAGGTGAACTGTCTCTTTAAGGACATACAGCAACACAACATGCACCAGATTTCGATTAAAATCATGATCTGATTGATAAAAATAACTCTGTAGTTCAGATGCCCCGACACATATTCACCACAACAGTTTTGTATTATTTTGCAAACCAACATTTTTCAAATATAGCAATCCATTTAAAACACTGATATACAATAAATTTAAAACAAACTTTTGTAAAACGCAAATGACTCTAAATGACCGATTCGCATCTTGAGCTGATGTTGCCAACATCTTACAGATGCATTAATAATATATTACAATTTTAATCAGATATTCAAACTACAACATGGAAATGATTTTAAGTCAAATAAATAATGTTTCAAATGAAATGTCATGTTGCGTGTCACCTGATGGCACTCGGTCACTGCTCTAATAAATGCATATTTCATTTTGCATAGATGATGATGAATGTCCATGTACGAAATATTTGGCTTAACATGAGTGTTTTCCGATCTCAGATCATCCGCTGTGGATGTCGTCCAAATGGCTCTCGATGAACGTGTTGATGCTGGATGAGAAGCGTGTGATGGTGGACGCTAACGAGACGAACATACAGAAGATGTTTGAAAGTCTGGGTGAGAGTGCCGTTCGTTGTGATGAAGCATCCTCAGCTCTGATGTGATTCCTCATTCACCTGCTCTTGTCTGTCGTGGCTCCCGCAGGTATTCAGACCATTCGAGTCAGCATCCGGCACGCTAACTCGCTGGGAGGAGGCTTTCACTGCTGGACGACGGATGTGCGCCGCCGCGGGACGCTCCAGTCGTACTTCCTCTAGCCTGCCAGAGACACGCAGTGCTTACTGAGCTCAGATCAGCATGCTTTGATCGCGCCGTGCATGTCAGGGCTTTTGCAAACGCCACAGATGAACGTGATGAATACAAGCCTCAGTGATCTCAATAACGACTGCATCTCTGGCCGGCTGTTGTAGGAATGACTCCAGTGAAGCAGACAGAGCCCCCCCCACGCCACCACGACCACAGAAGAAGAGTTTCTACCTCCTGTTTACCAAAACCACTAAAAAACATAGCGTATTTTGAATTGTAATGACTTCTTATATAATGCATTTTAATTATAGATCTTTTTTTTTACCCTACATGTGATGTGCCAAGTGTTGATTTGTAAACTCAGGTATTTTTGTAGCCATACTTTGTAAGCATTTCATAGAAATGTAAATATCTATATGCATTTTAGTGGCATATACTTTCCCTTCACACGAGTGTTTTCTAGCCTCGGCCTCTGATGTCGTTCTCTGTAGCAGGAGTGCTGTGCTTCTCTAGTTAAACATGTTGGGTGCGATGATCGTGTGTCAGGTCAAACCAATCTAATAAAGATACACTTGGAACCCAGCGTGCCTGAGTTAGTTTTGTGCTTTATGAAGCTTTACGATCAAAAGAGCTAAACCAGTGAAGAAGTGAACCACAACACTCGTGTGCCGCAGAGCATTGCACATATTCACAATCCTCTCGATGTGTTCCCAACATATTTTAAATGAGTGATGAAGACTGATTGAAAAGAGTGTTATTGAGCTGCAAACCTGATTGTGAGTGTGTGTTAATCATTGACCGTCTTCACCAAACCGTACATAATAAACACCCATCTGAATAATACGGATCATATGATTTTATTGTATTGAGATGCTGAGCACTTTTCTGTGACATACAAGCACACTGCTGGAGGTGCACTGATCTTGTTTTCATCCATCATGCTGCTGATCCTGTATTTTCAGTTCATGAAATCCAGATGACAATAGTTCTGCAAAGTTTAAAAAAGGATAAATATCCCAGATTTAGCAGAAGGGTCATGTTTATTAACTCATTTCTGACACCGCTTTTAGCTTCTGTACAAACATGGAGATCTACAGAAAGTGCGTAAAAGCCAATAAAGTAACTTGAAGTAATGGACTTATTGAAAAACTTCACGCATGTGGCCTTCTGCTTCATAGTTCTGTCCAGCTGTGTTTCTCTCTTTATTCAGCTCCAGCACACACAGCTCAAAGCATGCAGAACACACTAACAGATATATATATATATACAAAAATACAAATACCAGGATAAAAAAAAAGTTCATATATTTATGGCAGTTAGATACATTTGAAAAGCTTTAGAATTTGTATTGTTTTTATAAGCTGCTTATTTTGTGATCTCGTATTAGAAAGGGTTCCAAAGTATAAGGTCAGTGTTGCAGAATGTAATATATGATGGTTTCTTTTGAATTACGTATATAAATCTTTGCTAAGATAATTAACAGAGTAATAATGTAAATCTGCTAAACAGAAAAAGATGGGTTTTGAGAGTATTTTCCTCGCGTCACCAGTTCTTCACTCGCGTTTAAAGCCCCGCCCCTCTGCGCGCAAGCGGCCGCTCATTGGCTCGCCGCAGCTCATTTGCATTGACGTCATTCGAGGCTGTAGGTCAGTCCGCGCGCGTGCTTCTACCGGATCCGCCGCTGATGTTCGCGCCGCGCGTTATCCCTCGTCTTCTGTCACGCGGCGGCCGTTCGTCCGTTTTCTTCGTCCGTCCGCGTCAAGCAGAGGCAGAGTCGTAGGCCCTTGATTGACAGCCGCTCCGGAGTTTCGTCTAGCGGCCCGCTGGATGTCACGGATGCCGGATCGCGCGTCCCGCGGCGCGTCAGGGCCGGACTGCAGCCCGTTGCTGGGGAGCGGAGTCAGCGCGCCGGTTCGCTCCCAATGACTGCCGCTGAGGCCGCGCGGAGCGATCGCGTGTGTTTCGCGTCTGTCGAAGGAGAATAAACGCGCGAATGGACGAAACCGTCGCGTGAACCGAACCGGAGCCAGAATCCGCCAGAAAAGAGGCGAAGTTCGCGCCCGCGAGGATGAGGAGCGACGGCCGCCAGTGAAGCGCGGAGGCGGCGGCGGGAGCAGCATGAGCGGAGCCGTTTGATCCGGAGACTCGATCGATCCGATGATCTGACTGAGAAACATTCCTGATCTCCTATTAGCGCAGAACGAGCGCAGCGTCGAAGGATGGGCTGCGCCTCCAGCATCCACATCTCCGACCGGGTGGTTTATCACAGCGGGAAAGAGTCCGAGGACTCGCCGCAACAGAACTGCCCTCAGCCGGACCACATCAAGCCCAGCAGCGCCTGCCAGGTGAGAGAGAGTGTGTGTGTGTGTGTGTGTGTGAGAGAGAGAGAGAGCGAGAGAGTGTGTGTGTGAGAGAGAGAGAGAGTGAGAGAGTGTGTGTGTGAGAGAGAGAGAGAGTGAGAGAGTGTGTGTGTGAGAGAGAGAGAGAGTGAGAGAGTGTGTGTGTGAGAGAGAGAGAGAGTGAGAGAGTGTGTGTGTGAGAGAGAGAGAGAGTGAGAGAGTGTGTGTGTGAGAGAGAGAGAGAGTGAGAGAGTGTGTGTGTGAGAGAGAGAGAGAGTGAGAGAGTGTGTGTGTGAGAGAGAGAGAGAGTGAGAGAGTGTGTGTGTGAGAGAGAGAGAGAGTGA